AACTTAGGGTTTACTATAAGTTGATCCTGCTCTTTAGACAGTTTTGCCAACCATTATCCCAGACAAGAGTGCTCTGGGTATTAACTTTTTCAAACTATATTTTCATTATTCTTCTTTAGGACGTGCTTAAACATCTCTTCCTCCTCCCCTCTTTTTGTCTTCCCTAAATTTACATTGAACCATCTCTCTCTATTGGCACAAGACTGGGGGTGCTTATGTTGAAATTTAAGCACATCACAGGTCATCTGGGTGTGTAAAAATCTGTATTATACTGACTTTCTGCTATCAGGACTGCCATTAACCTTTCTGCTCAACATTACACTTTACCAAAAAATCCAACCATGCCACAGAACATCTGTAAACACAACAACTTCATACTCATTTATCCCCTCCAACATAAGCAGCAGATCATTTTTCTGAGGGGAAAAAAAAAAAAAAACAAACCCAAAATCAAACCTGGTTTTCTCTTGTATCACCTTTAACCTCAGAACATTGATCAAATACACTTTAAACAGAATTTTCTTGGAGCCCAAACAGCAATGCAAGTCTGGAGAAAGGCAACAGCACAATAGCAGAAAACAGTGCAAATCCCACTGCTGCCAGCACAGGACAGGGGTGAGGGAATGAGGCTTTTTAGGGGTGAGAAACAAATTTTCATTTTTGCCTTTAGAAGTAAATCCCCCACACTTACTTTGTGCTTTGCTGATCACTTATTTGGAAAGAACTTTGTGTTTCCTCAGCGAAATCACTCCTTGGAAAAAAGAACACCCTATGCAGAGCAGTTGGAATGTGCAAGGCTGAACTGGGACTGCACCTAAACAAAAACACTGTGTGAAGTGATGGGTGTGGGGAAAACTCCTTTGGAATGAGCCTGTTCCTCTTTCAAACCTTTTAGTAAGACACAGCACCCATGGCAGGGTGTGCAAGGAGTAAGGGAAAGATAAAATTTCCCTTTCAGCCACCTTTCACTGTTATGGCTTTTAATTGTTTGGACAGGGAACATTAAAAAAAAAAATCTTATTTTTATCCTCTCTTATGTTATGCTTTCCTTAGATAGAGGGTCCTCTGAGCTAAAACCCACCACACACATTATAGAGCACCAAATCTGATCACAACAGAGACCTGTGAAGAGTCTCCAATAAAACCACAAGCACATCCCCTTTTACACCCCAAGAGTCGTTTTGTTTCTTGATGAGAAAATTCCCGTTAAGCCAAAAAAAACCCCATTTATGGCTCAGCCCTAAAAGGCTCCAAACTGAGAGCAATTAACTTACCCTCAGTCTCAAACATATATATGCTCAAAAAACGAAATGGTTTTTCCTAGACTATGGGCTGAACTAAATTTGGTTTAATTGTGCCACTTCCAGGGAGCAGAGTTTGTTTAAAGGCAGAATTATTTCTTCTCTGCCTGCCCAAGAGCTCTGCTGAACGGGAGAAATGCTGAGAGCTGAGCAAATCCACTGTAATTGTGCACAGGGATACAAACAGCAGAAAGAGAAACTCTATTTAACCAATTTGTCCAGACCTGGCCTTCACTCGGGTCTCCACGTTTTAACTTTTACTTGAAAATTAGAGTGAAGTTTTGTTTTAAAAAAAATTAAGCAGCAAACATCATTCCTTCTTAAAATAAAAATATCTAGTATTTTTCACGCTTAATATTTTTCCTTTAAGCTTTAGTCATGAATGTGCTGTCTCTGCAAGGCAACATCGCTCCTCCAAACAAACAAGGCTCCAATTTCACTTTTAAGTGTTTGCAAGATTAAGACCCTAAAAGCCAAGGCTGCTAACATAATGCACTTATTTTATAAAAATAGAGACAAAGGAATCTCGAACAGATGGAAGAAAGCTTCCTCAAAATACAGATCCAACCTCCCTTTACTTCAAAATAAATATATTCACATTATTTTTAAAGGTAAGTTTTGACAACCTTGTTGATTAGTGCAATTCATGTGGCAGCATTTGCTTTTCCCTAGCTCTCTACTGCATACTGAAAATAAGGCAATTAAATGAGAAAATTAATTCCATTAATTAAAAATGTTCAGTCTCAAGCAAGACAGAACGATCTGAGTGCGAATTACAGCTGTATAAACGTACATAAACCAAAATGTTTTCCTTGACATGTACTTTCTTTTAGGAAGGATAAATTTTTGCAGCACAAAGCAATGATAATGCTATTTTAACAGCATCATAAAGCTGGAGAAAGATATATAAAAAGTCTGGTTTATCCTTTAAAGAGAAAACCCCTGATGTACATAGGAAAATTTACAAGTAAAATACCACCCTTCCCACAAATTCCTTACTGGTGAGCCTGAGTGAAAACTCTGGTCAAGTCAGGAAAAAAAAATCATTAAACTTAGCTGAATCCATAAAGTACCGTGGCTGGAGTTTCAATACAGATCATTTTATAGTAAAATTAAAATAGAAGCCCTTTTTAATTATATAAAGTGTGCACATTATTACTGAGGAGAGAAATACACGCTTTCCTCAAGAACCATAAAATTGGCTGCTGGGAATTAGACTTCAGCTGCAATTATTATATGGTCCTATAAAGGATATTGAAAGTCTGATAAAATTGCACCCTTGTCATGTAACAGCGATGCTTAATGCTAAATAACCACTCTGCAGCATTCCAGGCATAGCTTTCTCCAAACATCACAGCTCCCTTCTCACACTGAAAAGAAAACAGAGCAGGACTGGGGAGCTAAAAGTATACCTAAATATTTGAAATACCAAATGAACAGGTCAAAAGATATGTAAAGCCACACAGAGGCAAAACAACACGTGTGATAAATGAACACTGGGGGTTGTTTATGAAGGAAAGCACTCCATGGATACTACCCAAGCCTCCAGGGATACCTACCCAGCCCTCCATGGATACTGCCCAATGTACCAGACTACCTGGGATGAGAAGGGAAGAAAAAAGAGCAACACAGTGGGGCAAGGGCTGAAGTGCATGTGCCTCACACTGACAAAGAGCAGTGCCACACATTCCTCAGGGCTGCTTTCCTTCTCCTTGCAGGACGTGTTGTAAACAGTGAGTATTTGTTACGCCTGCACGCAGCTACGGGAGACTGGCTGGCCTTCTCCTGAGAACCTGGAATTTGCACTCTCAGGCCCTGTAAATAGAGCATGGGACTAAAAACCTGGAGATGTTTCTCATCCCACAGACTCCACTGCCCTCACAGCTCAGCCAGGCTGCAATTTTTCTGTGCATTGAGAATATCAAAGAAATATTTCTGGGACACGTAACACAGGGCATGTGAAGGGAATGTGGCTGTGGGGTGTGGAAGCAGGGCTGTGAATTTTGCTCCTGCCAACGAAGGAAAAGAGAAAATCCTTTCTCTTATGAAGAAGTACTGACAAAGTCCCTCACCATTTAGATCCCACAGCACGGGTGGGATATACATCCCTCCTTCTCCGTAAGGCTTTGGTCTGACCTGCTGTTCAAATCCCAGCACCTGTGTCAGTGCCAGGCTTCACAAAGGAGCCCCTGCACAAGAGCACACGAAGGATCCCACACAGCCCTTGTTTGACACGACTGCTCAGTCATGAAAAGACACAGACCATTCAAAATCCAACCTACTCAGCTCCCAAATTACAGCAGGAAGCAGCCCCCTGCCTTAGTACAGAGATGGAAGAGCTGCAATGTCTCTCCCCAGCACTGAATGCTGGACTCACAGACTGCAGGAATGTTGTGGATGTTCTCATGGAGGGGTTTCCATCCCATGCCCACGCTGCTTGTGCCAGGCAAACTGCCCACAGCCTGTACGTGACATTCAGACCCTCTCCGAGTTATCCATCTCCTCCCAAGGCATGAGCAGGTGGGCAAAGGGAACTGCTCAGCGTTCAGTGGAACACTACTGAGACTCTGAGCAGGAAGTAAGTACAGGAAAGCTCACAGACCATGGCTGATTAACCTAAAAAACATTTCCAAGGCAGCTGTAGGCTAGGAAGGACATGGTGAGTCGCTGCATCTCTACAAAGGGACTGGCCACTGAGCACTGCTCAACTATGAATGTGAAAGCATAAAAAAAAATACATATTTTAGCTCAGACTGAGCATCTGAAAACACTGACCTTTTAACCAGTTAATCTATAAACCAAAACATTAAAAAATTAATTTTTACTCGAAGCGTGCATGAAATGTGCTCCTTATAAGGTAAAGCCAGTAAAGACCAAGGTGCACTTTGCAATGAGGCCTTAAAAACCCTTGTAAGCCCTTAAAAGTATTAACTACACCTCAAAACCTCTCTTGAGGTATTTTCAATACTATATATAATGTCACTGTTTTATAGAAGTATAAAATGACACACACTGTCATGTGCCAACAGCTCAGTCAGGCCAAGATGTGGCAGAGGAGACTTGGACTCCTCACTCCCTCTCAGCTGTGGGTACAGCTGGAAAAGAAAAATCTGTTCAGACAGTATTTACTAACCACTGGGGAAAACAGAAAAATCAACTCCTAAAATGTAAAAAGAAATTAATTGAAACCAAACGCCAAACAAAGAAACTTGGGATGCCAAACAAAGGAAAGTTGAAAACATGTACAATAAATGCCTTCAAACAAAATTCACGATCACACTTACTCTGCACAGAACTGAAATTTGGTAGTGATTTACTCCCAAAAGCAGAAAGGCTTTTCCTTTGGTTTTTTAGAAGGCATAATATTGTCTTTTAAAAAGACAGATATTGCTGTTTCTTGGTGGAGCTTCAAGATGCATCTTTTGCGTTAAAAATGTCTGAACCCTCTCATAAACAAATTACTGAGGATCATGCAATATTGCAATAATATAAATTGATTTATACAAGCATTAAATGTAACGTGAAGTCATGCAATGTGCCTTGGTCACAGTTCTCTCCATCAGAAACAATATTGGAGCATCCAGTTCCAGAATAAAACCGTTGCTCATATTTACCTTATCAAAGGTAGAAAAAGTGCCCACTACCATTCACACAAATGTGAGCCATCAGTCTTTCAGAATAAGGAAATAATTTGCTTACCTGGAACGTCAATTAATCTCTTATAAACATTCAAGAAGGCTGCCTCTGCTTCTTTGCTTCGTTTGCCCAATGCGTCAATCTAAGGGGGCGATGAGAAAAGAGGCTTTAAGACTTGTTCCAATACAACTCTTACACTCAGAGCTATAAATATAAATTAATAGATTTCATGTAAAACTCCTTGATACACAAAAAGGGAACCCAAGTCTCCTGTGTACAGCTCCAACAGAAGCAGCCTTATAAGATTATTCCTGCCATATCTGTACTGAATATAATTCAAAGTCCATTTCTCAGCACAATAACAAGCATCATTTTTTTAATCAAAATTTTTATGAACACTCCTGCCTGTTGTGATTCTTGACTTTAAATCTTTATAAAAAGCCTGGTATTTGCCAGGCTCTCCCCTCACCAGCTCTTTTCCTTTACCACTTAGTGAGATCTAACACAGAAAATGGAGCCGCGGCCACTTCTCATGTCCCACTCTGCCTTTTTTGTGGGAAACATATTTTTCTATTATTTCCACTGAGCCTGTGAGAGCATGGAAAGATGAACTTGATGGGCACCCTGGGGTACTTAACACTAAATAACTGTGAATCTTCTACATGCAAAAAAAGTTTTGTGACCCAGCTCAGGCACAGACCCATGGAGTCTGTACTGTCTGCACCTAATACCAGGCTCCTCTGACCAGCTTCTCTTTGTGTTCTGTAACACACACAATACTCATCTAAGAATTTATTATTTTCATCTAAAACTCCATTTTACAAGGCAGCTTAATGGCTCTGAGAATAAAATACTTCTTCCACAGCAACTCTTTTTGGTAAACGCATATTTTCCTATTGTACTAGAAAACAGAGGATTTACTATTACTAAATATTGACAATAAGCAACCAAACTGACTCGAGACCAGATCTATTGAATTAATACTCCAAAGCAGAGAGACAGAAAGGGAAACAGGAAAGCCTGACATAGCTCAGCAGCAGCTTACCCAAATCAGGAAACCAAAAGCATGGAGATTAGCATTCCCATATTTTAATAATAGGCAAGGAAGGATCTGAAGAACTACGGATACAAAGGCCTGATATCAATTCTTCTGTGTATTTAAAGAGCAGTTGACATTATGGAACCATTTAAAGGTGTGGACGTCACCAGGGCCTAAAAAAGGAAGGTCCTGCCTGAAAAACGTCCTTGAATTCTTTCTCTGCATTATTGATTCGGCAGATAAGGCAGGAACAATGGCCAGACTTTACTGTATCTGTACTTCAGGCAAGTATCTGATATTTTATTGTACAGGAGGGAGATTTGCAGCGTTAGAAAGCATGTGACCAACCTGTGGTGTGGCCGGGCTTTGCCAACGCTCCGGCACGGGAAGCGGAGGATGCCAGGGAGCGGAAGCGGCGCAGGAAGGAGGAGAGATAAGCAGGAGGGTGCTGGGGGGTCAGCTTTGGTGCCACTTCTGTTTATTTTGTACTAAAATGACTCTGTGAAGAGCAGGGAAGGATTTGGGAAGGGAGGGGAGGGGGGAATCCTGCAATGTGGATGATTAAATTCCGCGGCCAAGTGCAGCGGAGCGCGGGACAGCACGTGACGGGTACAGATCAGCCTCACGGCTCTAAGTGACTTGTAGAGATCATCACGGGCAGGATTAAGGGCAGAAAACCAAACAACAAGGACAATTGTAAAAATCACCCAGGAGCACAATGCACACCCAAGAAAAGGCTTGGAGGGGAGGAGTCGAGGAGGGAAGAAAGGACACGGGCAGCACCCGCACAGCGTTTGGCAGCGGCAGGGAAATCTTGGGAGATACGGCGAGGGGTTGGAAGGAGACAAGTTCAGGTAACACAATACAAGGCTGTGTTTAGAGAAATTCACCAAGTTCCTATTTCACTGACATCCCTCCAAAATCTGGATTCATTTATGGAGGTTGGTGGAGGTGTAGCATAACTGAAACCTGACCTATTTGCAGCTAGCAATTAGAAAAAAAAAGAAAGGTATCTGAAAGGTGATAAACGAGCATCAGAGGTCAGAATGGGGGAGGATGTGGAGAGCAGATATAAATTCTCAAGAGGTGCTGGCCATGCTTATCTGTCAGAATTTACCAAGAAAGGCTATGGAAAGGCACTGGAATCTCCCAGGGCACGCGACGTGCCGGAGAGCAAGGGATTGATGGTCGTGAATAACCCATTTATTAATTTGAATTCAAGCAATCACAGATGGACTGATGCTCATTAGGGAATGAGAACGTCAGTAATTCGGTCGGAACATTTTCACACAAAGCCTGTTTGAGAGGAGACCGTGGACCAAAGTGCCAAAGGCAGGGAGGCCCCGGGACGTGGAAATCGATGCTGGGGAGCGTCAGGCACCGCTCGGGGACGGGCACGAAGGAAGGGGCACCACCAGAGAGGCTTCTGCAGTTGAGCTGTTTCCTGGGTACGTGGAGACAGACTCTGAAGGCCAAGGAACACCATATGTTCCACTTGTGGACTTTTAACGTTCCCACATACAGTTTTCTCTCGCTGCTGCTCAGCGGAGAGCAGCCAAATTTAAATTACTATTATTAAATACAATTAGCATTACAGCACTGATTCTGTACTGTATTTTTGAAAAATTCATTTGCCCCTTTTATGAAAGCCAAAGCGTTTAAAATGCTTCCATTTCTGAGAAATAACAGGATGGATTTGTTTGCCTATTACAGTTTTTCCACATTTTAATAAAGAGCATTTGTACTTATATTCTCCCTAAGTATTATAAGAGGTATGGTTTATTCAGTCCTCACCAGTTATAGAGTGATGGAAATATAAACCAGAATTGAAACAACATCTTCCAAGGAGATCAGAGACTTTCCAAAGGAAGCAGTTTGTAAATCACAGGTATTTTACACCTTTTCCCCCCCTCTAAATTCAGAACCAGAATTCCAAACAATCCCACCAGGCAGAAATATGGTTTTATGTTTTAGTTGTTAAAAAAAATAAATCAACGTGCCTGGTTTAAAGTTCTACTGAAAATGAGCATTGCCTCTATTTTATACCTTAAAATAAAATTTAGAAAAAGCACCCTGACAACTTTAACTGGAATGAAAAAATAATTAAGCATGCCAGCACCCAGGTGTGTAAGGAAATAAGGAAATATGGGATGAAAAATGCATAAAAAATAGTAAAATATAAATGAAGTCCAAAAAGAGAGGAAACAGAGCACTGAAATGACATGGAAGCATTTGGAAGTTCACTGAAAATTTTTCAAATCTAAGTAAAATTGGTTCAGGAGCCAACAAGGCTGAGCTGCAATCAGCTCACATTAAACAGTTGAACTACATTATAAAACTCTTGCTGAACATTTTTATTTGACTCTAAAAACTTCAGGGACCCTGAAAGAAGTCAACTTATAATTACACTCGCGTTGTCTTGACACGAGCTCAGCTCCAAATCTTAATTTATCTAAACCAGGCCCCATTATGTCTTCTCCGAGCAGAAAGAAACAACAGTGACCTCTGTATTCCCCACCACCCCCATAAACATATGTTCACTTTTAAGTTTTGGCATACTATTTGTCTTGATAATACCACTGGCGCTGCAGTGCGATAACGGAGCTGAGACACCAGGAATCCTCCCTCCTCATCTCACTCAGCTTTAAAACATCCCCGCAGCTACACGGAGGGAGCCGTGGTCTGAGAGCCCTCCTCCCTTTATCCACCTTGTTTTTCCAGGTCAAGTGCTCTCACGAGTCATTGCCTGGGGTCTCGAGGTCACCCTGGAGGCCTGAGTGACATCCTTCCCCTCCAGAATCACCTCCCTGCTGTGAAAACCTCTGTGATCTGCTCCCACACTTTGCTGCTTGTTGCCCCACAGCCTAGCTCAGGATCACTTGGCCCCAAGTCTAATATCAGCTACACCTGGCTAAAATCAGAATGTCATCATGGATTCATCTCCACATTTACACAGGCACCATAAATCTGGCACCTGTGTCAGGGAAGGTGCTGAACGCGGTTTTATCTGAACGCTGCCTCTTCCTGTTTCAGCCGCGTCCAGTCAGGTTCAAACAGGTAAAAGCCAAGTCTGTGGCTTTAGTTTGGAATCTGTCGCTCTTTATGCACTAAGAAATTTCAGCATTAATGCAAGCCTGGTGTCTACTGCCCCCCAAATCTGCTGTGTGCAGGTCTGCAGAGGTGGGATGCTCTGGGCTGTACGTGGTACCGCCTCTGCAGTCAGACCAAAGGCTGCACAGCTGCATTCCTGAATTTAAAGAAGAAACAGGATGATGAAGCTCTTTGCCAGGAAGCTGGGCTGCCAGATGCCAGCACATCCTGCACTGACACTTAAATTCTCTGAACTTACAGATATCAGCACATTAACACATTTCAGACCATCAGAGTGGCACATGTGTTGCTCCTCTTGGATCCACTCGGATCACTCAACAAAGCTGAATGTTTGGGATGCTGAACTCAAATTCCCAAGACAACTCCTTTGTGAGGGGATCCCAATGCTGTGTCTCTCCAGCATCAGTGATTTACTCACAGTTCCTTTAACTGCAGATCCACAAACACAACTATGCTAAATAGGAACTTTGTAGCCTCAACTCTTCTACTTATCCTCATTGTTCTTCAGTTGTAATCCTCACTCTCATTAACCACCTTAACATTAAAGATCTGTCTTTCACTGTCCTGCACACAAAAATAAATGACTTAAAAGAGAACCTATTTTTCTGTTCTGATTTTTAATAAATAGATGCCTTAAGGAGACACCCATCCCCCTTCCCCTACACATCTTCTCTTGTATTGTTTTGCACCACGAAGCTTTTCCATTTGTCTTCAATTACTTCAAGTTACCGAAAAGCCATTAAGAATTGGAAGAAACATATTAAACCAAAGGAAAAGCACAATAACAGCTCATTAATGCACCATTCTTTTAAGCTATATTCTTGAATGGTTGCCTTGGAATCAAATGGTAGTTATAGTAAGATTATTAATGCTATGCAATGGCACCAGTCTTGCTTTGAAGCCTTTACATCAGAGCTTGGCTGCTCTTTCATATAAAACTGTCCATCAGCTGCTCAGGTGATGCAGCAAAACAGCTCTACAACCCTCTGTGT